TGACTCTAGGTCTGGCTTACCTTCAAAAGCTTGCTCGACGTTGATGGCCTCCTTAGCACTGGTCTCGAAGTACGGGATACCACCCTTCGATTGGCAAAATGTCATGGCGCGCTTAGACGAGATCTGGCGCTGTCAGTATGAAGCCTTGAACGGTCGCTACAGAGACTCACCATCCTTTTGCTCTCCTCCACATCGATTTTGTTGCCAATGACAACCTGTCCGCGTCAGTACCGATGTACACCCAATCTACCCGTATGCACCTACAAATGGGAAGCTCTCAGGATCCATCGGGCTGGCCTGAACCAAGAATTCGTCCCTCCAGCTATCCAGGGTATCGAAACTCTTCGAGTTGTTCACGTCGTATACGAGCACGCAGCAGTCGGCACCGCGGTAGAAGGCAACACCGAGCGATTGGAAGCGCTCTTGACCGGCAGTGTCCCAGAGCTATCGTACGTCAGTAAGATCAAAGCGCGCAGATTCACATGTACACACCTGCATGGTAACCAGCCTGTCGTCGACCAACACTTCCTTGGTCAGGAAATCGGCACCGATTGTGGCTTTGTAGCTTGCACTGAACTTCTTGTTGACCTGTAGAGACCGTATAAGCCAGTTTTCATAGTCTCCAGCTATCACTCGTGTCGTGTATAGCTCTACGAGGGGTTCTCCGTACATATTGGTTCATCAAGCTCGTCTTGCCGACCCCGCTGTCTCCGAGGATAATGACCTGCGCGCATTAGTCGTGATTAGTCGTGAAGGGCAGGCCCTGTCTGGAGCTGAAATACCTTAAGGAGGACCTTCTTCCTTGATGCCATCTTGTAGAGAGTGTGTGTAGGTAGGGAGACGAGGTACGGCGCGGTCGATTCGAGGCGCGAAGCTAGATGCTTCGAGGTGGTGCGGAGTTGGCTGCGCGGATACTAGGCCGAGGTAGAGGGTATGCGACGCCAATATCTAGGTCTCCAGGACGTTGGCCGAGTGAAGAAATCAATGCACTGCGTTTATGGCGCAGATACGGTGAGGATAGGTGCAGCTTCGTTACCAGAGATCGATGATGGTTGATGTCAAGCTGGGCACGGACATAGCGCTAGCCGCCCGTCCCATGGTCTGAGGTGGCTCAACCCACGCGCCCACCTGACACCGCATTCACATAGACCGTCTACCCCCACCGCTAATCCACGACTGTCCCTGAGGGAGAGATTTATCCAGATATCAAGTTATCAAAGTCGCTGGTGTCATCGCCAATCTCCAACCTAGCGCGACCGTGAACCTGACCGATACACCCAGGGCTACCAATAGATCGCCTAAGCGGTAAAGTTTAAGGCTGCCAGTACAGTCCTGCTTACACGTCGCTCGTAGAACTAGCTTTCCAATGTCAAAATTCTGATCTAGGTGCGATTCTTGAACACTCCACCTGCAGTCACCATGTGGACGACGCTTGCATTAGATTCGGATTGCACCAAATGGACATCACGTTCTACTCCTGCCCTAGAGATAAGCAATAACGTACTTGGAAGCTCTTGATATGGTAAACAGCCCATTCTGACATGGAAGAACAGCTTATTAAGTGTGGAGGCGAAATAATTCTGGATGTAGTGCTCCTCGAGTATAGCATGAATACTTTGCTTTAGCAGACTCCGTATGTTTGGTCTCTGATAGCAAACTTTTACAGTCAAACTATCAGCAATACAATAATGTTCCATTGTCGGTTTCTGATCGAGTGAACTGGAAGAGTCCCGATTAGGCCAGTGAATGCAAACACGTCTTGGCAGAGCGTCGATTTCACTATAACTGTAGTTTCGATAGTGGGTTCTTTCTTCGCCCCAACCAATACCACTGATCCTTTCCGCATCAATCTAGAGCGTCATAGCTCCAGAGATCAATCCTTTGCCATGACGAACGCGGATCCTCTTCACTTGCATTTCATGGCGCTCACTGATATTGGAGGCACTTTGTCCGAGCAGGAGCGTATACAACTGATCAGTAGGCCACTAATCGCCCCAAGCGCTCGTTGTCGATAAGAGAAAACTAACATGAGTATCTAGATACGCTGGTGTTTCTGGTTCGTACCGAGTATCCTTCCGTCACCAGTGTTCGCGACGTCAACCTGGTCACTATCCAAATATCATCCGACAGATATCGCATCGACGTAACATCTCGCAAAGGAACGATCATCTTCGGGTGGGACGTAAGAACACGCATTGAGGTGCTCGAGGGTCTCCGTGATGCCATAGAGAAGCGAGCAGCGCAAGTGATCTTGGAAACGAGCGGGCCACGGAACGGACGTGTGCTGGCAAAAGACCAGCCAAAGTCCCACAGACAAGACCCCAAGGCGTCATCGGATAGTCTGAAGCATGAGACTGACAAATTTCTTACAAAGAAGGCCGATGGCGATTTTGGAAGTCTAGACGCCATGTTCGTGAAGGACGACAACAATCATCAGACCCGGATACCTTTTCGCGCCGGTCGAAAGAGAAAGGCGCAAGATCAGAATGAGTGCACAAGGAAGAAATCCAAAGGAGATGACTGCGTCATGAATGACGAAATACTTGGCGAAACAGAAGAGGAAAGGATGTCAGACCATGAAGGACATAAGGAAGCGATGGACAGCCACATCGAAGGCGAACCAGAGGACATAGAAGAAGAAGACCCGCCTCCATCTGTCAGTGCTGTGCTTGCGGGATATGTAGCTGGAGAGCGAAGGGGTCGAAAGTGGAGAGGCCGTACGGCTGACATGCCGATGAGGCACGATATGGATGGCATTGCTGAAGGGAACGTATCCGACGACGAGCAGGTCATCATTGGAGAGGATAGCGACTTCTGGCGCGAACGGTAGATACTACGTAGTCAACAGGCGGAAAGCCACGCGAGTGAAGGGTGTTTGGTGGTGGTGCTGGGTAGTAGCTGCCCAAGTAGCGGGAGTGCGAAGTCCGGCGCTAGCAGCCTAGCAGTCGCGATCATTCTGCGCGCATGTCCTTCGCTTTCTCACTCGTATCAATGATGTCCTATACACAGCGTTGACAATTAACTCCATTCTACATGAAATCTCGCTGATGATCGATCTTGATGGGTCTTGATGGTTTACTCATCCTACGCCGTACACGATGGTCTCTTCGCAACTTCCCCGTGCGGGGATCCGTACGATAGCCACGGTCCTGGTTGACGACCAGCCGCAACGCAATTGCATATGACAGCGCATCGGGGTTGAAACTCATTTCTGGCTTTTTACTTTTCATTTCTCCTACCACGCACTTGCTTGGACGATGTCGCAAACCACTACTACCGGAACCGAGACGATGCTGCGCTTGCCAGCAACGATGAAAGCATGGCAATGGACAACATGTAGTACCACGCTCGAGGAGGCAATACAACTCAATGATTCAGTACCGCTGCCGACAGCCAAGCGGCCACTCGCAAGCGGAGAATCTCTGGTTCAAGTTCACGCTGCTGCTCTGAACCAGGTCGACTACAAGCTTGCAGAACTACCCATCGTTGGGCGAATGGCCATCCCTAAGCCAGCAACCCCCGGACTTGATTTCGCTGGAAAAGTCGCTGAAGTGGGACCGGATTGCGACCTCACGGTCGGGCAAATGGTTTTTGGCAAGCTCGAGCCGAAGCAACAGTTTGGCACGTTGGGAGAATTCATCATCGGTTCAAAAGCGGGAACGGTGCCAATGCCCGATGGTATCTCAGCGGAGCAAGCAGCAACGCTGGGAGTCTGCGGTCTTGTTACATATCAGTGCCTCGCACCGAATGTAAAAGCCGGTGACAGAGTACTAATCAACGGTGGTTCAGGTGGTACGGGTACTTTTGCCATTCAGATCGCAAAAGCTCTGGGATGCTATGTCACAACGACCTGCTCCGGTAAGCGTCCAACAGTCGCGACAATGATGCATTTTCTGATCCCTCACAGCCGCAAATGTTCAGCTTTGCAAGGATCTTGGGGCCGACGAAGTGATCGACTATCGCGAGAACGATGTGCCTACCCTTTTGGCAAGCAGCTCAAAACACTATGACATGGTTCTCGACAACATTGGACATCAGTTTGAGCTATACTGGAAATCACCCTCCTTCACAAAGCCTGCAGCGAAGTACGTCCAGATCGGATCTCAAGTGAGCCTACCCTTTATTTACGATCTCGCATTCCGCTTCCTGGTACCGACGTGGCTTGGGGGAGGGCAACGGCCATTCTCTTTTGGTCTTGCATCTACGAATTTCGAAGACTTCACGAAGTTGGGAAGGCTCGTTGCGGACGGGAAAGTGAAGCCTGTCGTGAGTGAGGTTTTTGCTTTCGAGCATGTACCCAAAGCTTATGAGAAGCTCAGAACAGGTAGAGCGAAGGGAAAGCTGGTAGTTAAAGTGGGAGCGAATTGAACGATTGGCTGAAGTGAAAGTAAAGCGTGCTACCCTCCAGATGCAAAGCAAGGCCGGCCAGCCTGTTAGAACTTGTCGTTCGATGACCGCAGTTGCATTCGCGCCTGGTCCCGAATTGCTCGCTGGGTGGGATTTGATCAGCCTCAACTCGCAGAACATCCTAACATGGGATTAGTGCGCGAAAATGATAATATAGAGAAAAAAACGATCATCGTTGCTATTCGTTCAGGTTGCGTGGACGCGCTCGTGGCGCCGCTAAGGCTGGTTTCAGGCAACGAGGAGGCTGTGTTGAACGCCGATCTGCGCTCAGCTGTGTGTACCAATACGAGCATACATTCCATCAGGTTCCGAATGAATCGATTCCAATACTCCGAAATACCTTTTGAAACTCTCGAGAGAATGCGACACAGCAATTATTTAACAAGAGGAAACTTACCATCGCGTATCTCACGAAGAAATTCTGACGCGCCTATAGTACAAAGAACTTCTAATCCGGGAGCGATATGAGCGCGTCGTTGTCTATTAGGGAAGGCAAAAGAAGACAGGAAGCTAGCCCGGAAGACGACGTTGAAGGAAGGAAGCGACTCAAACCAATCATCGACCTGACATCACCACTGTGTGCGGGATGTCAAATGCTTGACGTCGACAACGTTTTCGAAGCGGCCCTCAAGTACTACAAACGCAGAGTGGACGATCCAGACAAGAAGTCGAAGCTCTACGAAACTAGCGATGGAAGGCACTTCTACGCTGATGCAGTCTCGGTGCATCGGTTTGGTACGAGGCTGTCCAAGCCATCAGATTGTCCCTTGTGCGACTTCCTTCGATCTGTCAGAGTCGAGCCAGATGTACATGAACGCTACAAACTACTTGCGTTCCGTAGCAGCGATGCTTGGCTTTTCAATGCAGATCGGGTGAGAACCGCGTTTAAAGAACCCGACTTCCTCGAGGAACGCCACGAAACAGTGTTCATGGCAGTCGTGCCAGATATAGAGTCGATCCCACCAACCGGGCATGATGCTACATGGCTAGACTACGAGATTCCTGCTGTGGGGGCCATCTTTTACAAGTCGGCTGCCGAGCCCAGCGACTTTCTCAACCAGAACCTGCTGGGAGCAAGAGAGCTCAAGGGTTCATTCGATCTTGAGCGGTTGCGGTCTTGGCTCGATTACTGCCGCAGTGGACACGGTACCGCCTGCAGACAACGTGCATCGGAAGAACCGGTAACCAGAGGCTTTCGTCTGATCAACTGTACCAAGGATCCTCCCGAGGTTGAAGACAAGCCGTGGGGAACTCCGTACGCCGCTTTAAGCTATGTTTGGGGATCTACGCCCGCCGATCTGGAAGACTGGCCGGCGACTGTCATGGACGCAGTCGAGGTCACACGCAAGCTCGACTTTACCTATCTGTGGGTGGATCGGAGCTGTATAAACCAGGCGGATCCAGAAGAGAAAGGCTACCTGATTTCGAGGATGACCACAATATATGAAGCAGCTGAGTTCACCATCGTAGCAGCTGCAGGAAATGGTGCTAGCCATGGTCTTCCTGGGGTACGAAACACACCTCGCAAGCCACAGCCAAAGTACTACGCCAATAGCGGAAGTCTACTTCTTTCTATGCTCCCTGACCCGCGGCGAGAAATACTCCAATCGCAATATTGGACCCGCGGGTGGACATACCAAGAAGGAGTCCTCTCTAACCGCCGTATCGTTTTCACAGAACACCAGTTCTACTGGGAATGTCGATGTATGGCTTCGAATGAAAGCGCGGATGTGTCGCTGTTTCACCAACCTATAAGCCATGAGAACGATCCCAACACCATTCTGGTAGACTTTATGTTGAGCGGCATATTCAAAGGCGGTGCATTCAGCGGAGGTAGTAGTGCGCACCAAGGAGACTTGGTCATTGCTAATGACGAGGAGTATCGGCTTGACTATGGCTTTCCTGTCGTAGAGGAGATAACCGTTGGAGCGCAATTGCGAGGGCTGTGCGAACATATGCGTGAGTTTACGAAACGACGCTTGACACAAGCTACAGATACCCTGCCAGCCTGTAAGTAGTTTGCCTTGGAACTGCTGGTGCTACCAATACTAAGTTCTGCGCCATCTCTAGTCCAGGGTGTTCTTGGAATGTACGAACAAACCACATCGCTGCATATGTTTCACGGAATACCCTTGTGGACGGGCGACATTGCTGGAAGCGCTGCCCCCGCTCAGATTACCTTCGCCCTGGCGATATCGTCATGGTTTCACCGTGCGGGCTCGCATCAAGCGATGTTCATCTCCGAAGCATGTATGCGACGTAATCATTTACCTTCGTGGACCTGGTAAGAGCCGTTGCGCGAGCTGCGTGTAAGACATTGACTAACTTCGTATCTTTAACTCTAGGGCTGGCTGGGGCGGTACAGTCAGTTGGCGGCTACCTCCCAATACTGAATATTGCGCTTATCTGAGTGATCTGATCAATGCCACAAGCCCAAGTCTCGTATGGGGTGCGAATATGTATCTCTCTCATTCTGGACGTCCAGAGGTAGTACGGCTGTTGGACCAAAACTCAGCGCTTCGTCTGGCCAACGGCACGTTTTCCACACTGGAGATAAAGAATCCGTTTCTTTTGAACAAGTTCCAACCGGTCAAAGAAGTAAATCGAGAATGGTCGTGGGGTAGACTGGTTGGGAGGATTGGTCGCGAACGGTATATGTCTCACCGTGTTGACAAAGCCACAGACTGGTGGAGGATAGGTGGTCGCCTGACTTTCACCAGCATGTCAATCGACATAACCCAGCAAGAGTGGACTGCCAAACACGGCTCTGGCGAGTTCATAAGTGTTTTGATCTTCGTGGGGAGATTCCTCGATGTCGAGCACGGGTAAGTGTATTTGTACGAACTTTATATGAGACATACACTGACCTCGTACACTGTAATGTAGCGCGGCACGATTTTTGACGTTGCGAAAGGTACCTCATTCCAATCCTGTTGTGTGGGAGCGAGTCGGCATGCTTTCTTTGGTGCTTGGCTACATAGGCAAGACCCGGAACATTTCGGGTCTTTTTCACCTGACGCCAGCTCATGCTCGGAGTGGTTCCATAGTGATCCAATGAATTAGCGACTGTCGCGACTAGATGTCAAAAACGATTGTGCAACCTTAGGAGTTGCTGTGAACACCCTGGGGCGTGTGCGTTCAAGAAATACGGCTAGCGATGGTAAGATCGATGCGGCAATTCCAAAGGAGTGTACGCTTAGTGCTCTGTAGAAATTCAAGGTGCATACGGTTCGTTGAGGATATACTTCCAGGGTGGTGATGGGTTAGACAAAGTTCGTGATGTACGTCATGTAGCCGCACCCCACGTATACCTTGGCAACAGCATCCATGAGCCGACGTCTTCACACGCCCATCCCGTACTTCACCCTGAACAGCAGAGGCAAAAATTGAAAGAAGAGCCGCGATCCTCAAGCTTTTCAGTGACATATGCACAAACATGCAGAAGGTTTCGGTCTGGGCTGACGAGCTCGGTCAAAAGCGGATAACCTAAATAGGAAATCCCATCCAGACTTGTCGCATCTCCAAACATGGAGGAATTCACATTCCCATCTTGTCGCGCACGTCCGAGCCCTAGCATGCCAATTATTCTAGGCCGGCAGCCTCAAAAGTACCGGTTCGGTAGAGAAGCCCGACCATGCGAGTGATCCCCGACAGGGGCCAGGGTGAAAGGTGTCAGGGCGAGCAGGTAATGTACCCGCTCAAGTGCATGTTATGTGTCACTGGCGTATGGGAACCGAAGTGCCGATGCGAGGTGTGCTGGTACCATGGTGCATGTATCAGGGATGTGGGGAGTGTGTTCTAGAATACTGGCTAGTGTGGAACGTGGTTGCAGGATTTTCATGTGGTGGCTTTGTGGTACGAGTTGTAAGGGGCGAGTATCGTGAGATCCATTTTAGGAAGGCGCTTCCGATGTGAGAGTACTATGAAGCGGTGTGAATTGGTCTGACTGATGGGTGGGGTCCGGTGATGCTCTGTGAAGAAGTGTACGCCATGAACAGATCTTGCGTGGCCTCAGCGACTTACGTATACCGCTTTGTTCATGTGCCCAGAGGTGAAGCTAGTCAGTGATTTGTGAGTTACTCCAAGAAAGCATGAGCGAAAGATATGTCAGAGCGTAGAAGTTGATTCTGCTTGTACTATGTATTACTTGCTATGATGCTAGTCACGAATTGTGATCTATGAATTGAACTTTTCTTTGTGCCAAGGAAAACGCCTGCTGGATGTCCATTCGATGCAAGAGCGGCTCAGCCTGAGCTCAACCCAAATACACCAGCAATGAGCCGAACGCCGTAAAAAAATCCAATAAGAGTGGCGAGCATGTAAACGCGACGCCGGGTATATCCTACAGTCCACTAGTGATAGTTCCAAGCGAAAATAGACCAATGGCACAGTAAGGAGATTCGTGAAGCGTCGATGATCTCATCGTAAAATGGGGTATAAGCGAAGAAAGGAAATAGGAAGCTCGCAGCTATTGCTCCAGGCTGAAGCTTCCGGAGCGGGAGCTACTGTTGGAGAAAGGAAATTCGCAGTCGTCGACGTAAGTCGGGGGGCTGATAGGAACGTCTTCGTAGAGAGGAGGCTGCTCCTCATCCCAAGCAATACCCATGCCAGAGCGCTCAGTGAGCACGAGGTGGAACTGAGTGCGGAGAACGCGAGCGGCGCCAGTAGGAGTGGCTTGGTTGAGCTTCTTGAGGGGTGCCCACTCTTCAGCGACAACCATCTCAATGATGAGGTTGTGCTTGACGCTCATGCCGCTTGGGCTCTCCATGTCGCAAAGAGGCTTCAGGCCGACGTTGCAGGCGGCCTGAAACTCGACGTCAATCTCGCCCTTCTCAAAGTCGGTCTTCCAGCCAGTCTTGACCTCCTCGCTGGCGATGGCGCGAACATCCTCGTGAAGGACACCCTTGCCCTCACCCCCGACCTTGGAAATGTGCTTGGCACAGGCTGGAGCAATGAACTTCTGCGTCTCCTCAATGCGCCAGTTGAGCTTGCGGAGCCTCCATCGTGTTTGTGAGTCTCCTTTGTTCTGCACAATACCAGATAGGCGCATCTCAATGGGGAAGTCACCAATCGGGTGGATGACCGGGGGTAGCTTCACTGAAGCGGTAAGGTTCGTGGGAGGGAAGATGCGAATAGAGTGCTTCTCGGCTCCGGGAAAGATGGCGCGCTTGATGTCCAGATTGCGCTTGTAGGTAATCTTACCCGATGAGGTAGTAGCAACAGCGGAAAGGTAGTAATCGACTGTGGCGAGGCTACCATGTGTAGTCGCAGGCAAGTGTCCCGGCAGCAAGTGGCTGAAGGGGAACGTGTGTGGGCCATGACGCAGCGAAGTAGGATGCGTCAGGAACTCCCACTTGTGGATTTCGGTGGTTTGCGTGCTGCAATCGGGGCAGTGTGGGGCGACAGGCTTCTTAGTGGAAACGATGGCGAGCATGCGCATCTCGAATTTTTCCACGGTGACGTAGGGGTCATGAACGTTGATGACGAGCTGACCCGAGAAAATAGCGCCGGTCGAAGACTGGGGGCTGTTGTAGAAGACAATGGGCGGCGACTCAACGCTCATGTTCATGGAAGCCGCGCCCTGAGCCTCCACTTTGGGGCTCTTCTTGACTTCCTCTTTTTCTTTCGCATGCTTGTCATGCTTGTGGCGGTTGAAGATGTCCATGACGAGCGATTCTTCCGACTTTGACTTTGCTTTTACGCGGGGTGCGTCGTAGGAGTAGACGGGCGGCAGCAGGCCTTCGGCGTGCGGTTTGACGTGGTCCAGTTTAGGCAATGGCGTGGGAGCCACCCTCGCGAGGGTGCTCAACAGGCGACCGGGCATGTCTGATAAAGAATCCGGGGTAGGGCTGAGATTGAGTGACGTGAGTGGATGTTGGCAGCTGTGAATCTGCGAGATAAGGAGCTGTCCAATGGAGTGAGGGAGTGGGCCGAGATCCGATATGCAGGTGCAGCAACTGTTGAATGCGGCGGCGTTCAAGAGTTAACCTTGTGGGAGTGGAGGTGGTTATAGAGAGTCTGTGGCAGGAACATGTTCTAGCTGTCAAAGTAACCAAAGGGGTAGCTCGGGGTAGGGCGTGGTCTTATTTAAAGGCGTTTAGCATTTTGAGGGAAGTTTTACATGAGAGAAACTCGATTTCGCATGATTTCATCGGTTATACCAGATGCAGGGATTGCGCACGCCACGCTAACGGGTTCTGGCAAGCACACCCCTGCGCCTTCCATGGAATTTTTGGGTCAGGAGGAAGGAACGCACGGCCTGCCGCTCTCGCGATCGCCCAGTAGCTGTCGTGCCTGCCAACTAAAAAGACGTCAACACCTGGGCAACCTTCTCAGCTGAGCTGGTACGAGAGCGTCGTGACTGTCGCGCCCTATACCGGTGTATGCAGCGCATTCCCCATCACCATGCATTACCAAGCGCTCGCTGCTGACCGCCGATTCATCACCAGGCCGAACGCATTCCGAATTCCAGCTCGTGCTTTGGCCGCCGCCAACAAGCACCGTGGTGGCTTGACTATGCGGCCAACATGTGTGACTCGCCGACGGCCATTCACTTCAGCACACATTGTACCAGAGGGTCTCCAC